TACCTACAAAGGTATTGTGTAGTAGATTCTCTATTTATGAGTAGTTTTCAATAATGCTTGGAACTTATTTAGAAAGCAGAAAATTTGACAACCGTGAATGTTAATTCTATTTTTATTTCGTCACTTCTGTTATAACATTACGCTTTACAGTAGAGATAATTCATTATACAACAATAATATGCTGTATACTCCCAAATACAAAGTTTATATACAGTCTGTTATATATTCAGAGAAAATGACACATTATAAGATAGTATTCCTTATGATTTTCATTTCATCGGGCAACTAAACTGTTTCAAAAATATACAAAAAGATATTACTCTGCCATAGTTTTACTAGGTAAAACCGAATACCATTGATACGTTTAAAGTAACTCCATCCAACAAACGGAGTAACCCAAACAAAGATAGATGNGCTCTTCCTTACGAATCAGTAGACAGTTGCCTTGAAAATTTCGCGAAGAAAATTGAATTAGATAATTCAGGAAACACTTGCTCCTTGAATAGCATTTTACAAGTGTTGTTCATGACGAAGAATTTCAAGAACGAGGTTCTAATGATGACCGAGAACGAGAATGTTTCCTACTTATTCTTTGAGTCTTTGAGGTCTACTAGATACTCGTTAGGACAACAAGAGGATTGTTCTGAATTCTTGGGATTCTCGTTGAATACTCTTCGTGGGCGGTAAAATTGCAGGATCAATACTCCTGCCTCCTCTGGATTTAATGATTCCGTACAGTCTATCTCATCTTGTGTTTGTAGATCAATTGCTGGAAAAATCCTCAGTTGTTTAGTCTGTGGTACATGTTCGAGAGGTAGCAAAAGCAAAAGCTTATGTGACTTTCTGGAACGTCAACAAGCATTTCCTAATATGACTGATAACCAGTCCGTGCCTAGCTTATTGTTACATCATCTGAAAATAGAACTTTTAACGGGTGATAATCAACTGTATGTTGCCAAATATGTGCCAAATCAACTGATTGTTATAAGAGGCACCAATAAATCTAATGTGATCTTCAAACATGACTCAATCTCTAACGGAAGCACCAAACTCTTACGAAGGTTCGAAATAGATGAACACTTCAATCTAGTAGACCACTATTATAATCTTCATGCAGTCATTGTTCACTGTGGTTCTGGCGTTGAATCTGGTATTATTACGCATTAGTCAAAGACGAAACGAACTGGTTTAAGTTTGACGATAATCGTATCACTAAATATTCTGGCGGTATCTTGAATTCATTGCAGCCTCTGGAGACACCTTACATTTTGTTTTATGAAATAAAGGACATTGGCAGATCAAGATCTTCAGATGATGTGGTGCTGCAGGTTTTTCCGGGTCTTCTGCAGCTGAAAAAGCAAATGCGCCACTGGAATACCATCAAGCCGTCCCATAATTTGTATCAGTTTATATTTGAATATATTCTAATATAATGAAAAAGGTGACTAACAATTTCATATTTCACGAAATGTGCGAGGGCTTTGAATGAGAGTTTATAGACCGACCTCGTACATGTTGGTCAAAAGTTGAGTATTTACAAAGGGTTGTCATTAACAAACACGTTATGGTCAATAAACCTCAATTCAACCTATTATACAAGCGTTTTTTATGCCCAGCTGTTTCGAAGAACATACTTTCATTCCCAAAATTCAGCGAATTCGTTATGTAGTCGAGGACACGAGGAATTTATATTATTATTAATATTTAGAAGTAGTGAAAAATAATACAAAAGATCTTTGTGTTTTGTGTTCTTTGACCGTTTATATTCCTTGAGGTGTTTCAACATAATGATTGGTAATGTAAAAGTTGTGAATTTCACATAAAAAACTTTTTGATTATTCTTCAAAATATTGAATGTTTTCATTGAAAAGAATCAATAAGAAGGATGAAGAATTCTCGACAATGATGGTGATATCCTAACAAATTCAAAACAAATATTGAAAACTATATCAGATTGAAAATATTTGGTTGATAGTTGAAATGATAAATTATCAAATGTTAATTAATTACCAGTTGAGAAAAATCATTTGGAGTAGCTTTTGTCAGTCTTGTTACTAATGGAAACTAATTGATTGCATCAATAAACGCTGTTTTTCTAAATTATATTCAAAATATGTTTTTTCATTGGCCAGCTGTCATTTCCATACTAAAGACAACTCTCAGAAGTGGAAACTTCTAAACTGAGGATTTACGAGGTCCTACTTTCCAACGAGCGATTGCTAGTACGGATTGGACGATACACAGTGAAACTCGATCGTCCGGCCGTAGGACTTGTAGGAACCACGGTTCCTCATGGCGGTCCATTGGATGAGTAGAATGTAACATTCATGCTAACCCATCCGTCTACCATCTCTCCGATTTGTTTCTCAAAAAAATAGAGTATTGTTGAAACAGTACACCAATAATGTTTGCTATTTTTTTCATACATAAGTAGAGATTATGCATAGACTTGATTTGTCAAAAAAAAATGAATCTTCAATATTTTGTCAATGATTGTTATAAATAACCACATTAAGATGAACGCTTTGAAATTAATTTCATAATATTAATATCATAAATATCTCATACATCACTAATACAGACTTTAGGGAAATTTGAAGGCTATGTATAATTATTCATAGAATCAACATGAAAGAGCACGTGCGTAACAGTAAACAAAAGCTAACAAATAATTTTTTGATAGACAAAACAGTCACATGCGAATGTAACAATATGAACAATAGACTGTATAAACGCAATTACAGAGAAATTTGAACCTCAATGATGTGAAGTTGCTGGTATTATGTAAAATTCTATTGTAAACATTATAATAGTTCAACAATAGTTAACACGAACAAACTTTCAAATAGAAAATAAAACCCAATACCGAGATTAATTTTTTTTCAGAAGCAAAATAACGTAATTTGAGAAATTGTTTTTAATTAATGAATATTCTTATCGTGTTTTCTAGTACATCAAGATTATAACACATCCGAAGAAAATGGCGAGTAATCAGAGCAAAAATATGAATATTCTCCTTATATCCATTATATAAAAACTAATCATTTTACGGTTTATGATTTCCATTCTCTGATAAACTATTGGTCCATATCCGTTCTGAAAATGTTTATTAAACATCATGACCAGAACTTCCTCCATGTTCGTAATAAAATTCACCCAGATTGAAATGTGTCAACAAAGAGATATCAAAAGAAAACTTGTCACGTAGGTATGAACTATGAATACCAACATTTGCGGTTTGAATTTCTCGTAAAAAATATCTTTGTTATTCATTTCATTCTTGAAAGAATTTCTGTAATTAACTCACCCTACCTTAATCTGACGCGCTCGAGAATTTCTGATGATCAATTTTTTTAACTAATCTGATCCTTTATCCCTCACAGGCAGCCTTATATATGAGGCTCATATTTGGTGGAGGTACTTAACCGGGTACAAGGTATCCCCCTGTATATTAATCTGCCACGCTTTAGTAAATCCCGAAGTCCCCGCGTGGGCTCCCCTTTATAAGTATTTTTCGGAAGTAGGTATACTTACATTATCTATAGGTACTTATAAATTTACTTTTTCATCACTGTTTATTTATACCGGTAAAGTGTCGGTATACCGGTATATTGTCGTTTTATATGGTAGATGTGCAATAAGAAATGTTTTTCGAATATTCCAACTGGAGCTCCAGCCGCGGTGGAAAAATACGCGTCCATTAAACAAAATTATATTTTCATCATTGTTTCTCTATGATCTTAAATTTGGGTGAATTTATATTTAATATCAGCATTGCACCCGTGCGGAGCCGGGGTGGATCACTAGTTTTATATATTTCACAACAATTGATTTAGCTACAGCTTCAAATGATATATTTATTTTTGTTTCTCTCAGGTTCATTCAGAATAAGACTTAGCACAGTTATAAAAATCAACATTTTAATGAACCTGTTGGTTACTATGACAATTTCAAAATGAATTATTGTTAGCATACACAACAACGTATCATATATATTTGCAGATTACTCAAAGTAGACAAATTAGAAGATTTGGATATAATAATTGAATGATATCATATAGTATTTGAATTGAAAGTATTCTATTGCTTTTTTTTAAGTTTTAGAAACTATTCAACTACGAGGCGACTATTGAACCCTGCTACACAGATACCCAGACCAATGATATCGTGTACATCGTGTATTAATACACTAAGAAACTTTGAACGCGTTTTTCTTGAAAACACCACATATAGTTTGAAATTTCAATTGGTTATTCGCAAAATGTTAATTATAAAATGAAAAAATGTTTTGAAATGCGAATTCATATCCATGAATGAAAAATATTTTGAAATAAATCTGAGAAAGCTACTCGAACATTGTTTTTATTCTATAGATGAGTACATTTTTGTGATTTCTGTTTCCATCTGAATTTCATATTCAACGATTTTTATACATGTAACTTTTGAAGAATTGAATAAAAAACTTCAATAAGTCTCCCACATGTTTTGTTTGATGATAGAAAAGTATTATAATAAAAGCTTCTTTGCCAAAAAACTAATCTCTCCTAAAAATATTTCCCTTTTCAATTCTCATTTTATTTTTCTTTCAGTTGATATTGTGTATAAATCATCTACATAGTTGAACAAATGTATATCTATTTCTCTAGATGTTTTCAAACTATTTTGATTTAGGTATATTTACTCCCTATATAGAGTTGAACGTACCCAATACTCTTCCAACTGATATATTTAAAAAAGATACAACCGCTAGAAGTGAAGTAAAAAACTGAATGAAGTGAGTGTCAGAAATCCTCACAGGATTACTTTATTGCAATTTTAATCCTCACAAATTGAGGCTTTATTCTCAAATTGGCAACATTTGTTGAAATTGAAAATATGCATATTCAAAAAAAAGTACGTTACAGGGCATGCTTCCTCCTACTTCCACTTGTACGAGTCGAGTCGATAGTCGAGAGCCGACCACATTTACAACTAACAGCTGTTTCTGAATGAGTAGTGGGAGAAAGGCCACTGAAAGGCCGATTGAGAACAGGCGGCGAGCAAGAATTCAAAACAGTTCAGTCGCTACCTCGAAGAGAACCGTGCGTGACAGGCAATGCAACAGTAATCATCGAGTCGAATATTTTTACGTTTTTTCGAAAAAGTCAGTGACCATCGCGAATCACAAAGATAAAATGGTGCGTAGTTTAGCCCAGTGGACGAAAACATTGAGTTTTCCAGCGAGGATATCACCCAACAAAACTTCGAAAGAAAGTGTCAACATCCATCAAGTCAGCCCCGCGATCACCCCCACACTAAGCAACAACTCTTTGACGAAAAACAACGACTTCAACAACATCATGAACAACAATCACTCGTCGCAGACTGAAGTCAACCAAGTAAGTGACGCGAATAATATCCATAATCCATTTGGAATTCTCCATTCCCTTGTTTTTTGGAAGGTTTTTAGTTGAAAACTTGGCAAAAAACGATACAAAAATCGCCAATAAACGTTTTTCAAGAGAGCCAGATTATCCTAGGAAAACAACTGAAGTGAGTTGCACAAATGAATGATGATCGTGCGAGAAAGAGATCGATGTACTCTCTACCAGCTGTCCTTCTTGAGCCTGCATTATAATGCAAACAGGATATTTGCAAGATTGAACAAGTTTCAATGCGTGTTTCAATGGCTGAGTCACTGATTGAGGTCGATCGATTATTGATTCGATGTTTGATTTATTTTCCACTAGGAGTTTATTCAAATACGTACTAGGTAACTGGTGAAAAAGAAAGATGAATTGGAAGTTTATTATCAGACAAGTGACATACACAATAATTGTTACATTCACCTTTTAACTAGTCTCATTCCAGACAACCACTATTACTGAGTGTACTTTCATCAAAAATTTGCCTTTTTCTGTGCGTTCCAGTGATTAATTCTGTTACATTTTTTCATTTTACGTCAAATAAGAGATATAACTAGTTGTCATATTCTCAAAATAACCTACTTCTTTCTCGCTCTTCCACTCTTCCATCAGTTATGGTGTCGTTGTCTAGGGAAATTCCACAAGGGCTGCAAATATGTTCAGGATTCAAAAGAAATTTATACGGGTCAATAATCTCAAGTCTAGATTGTAAATAACATATTTTAGAGTTTTTTTATTGATTCGGCCGTTAATTGATGAAGATTCATAGTAATTTTATGAACAACTCCTTATGATTTGATCTCCACAAATATATTTCTCAAATAAAGTTTATAGAGATCCAAACTTATGGTGTAGTTCATGAAAATATTTAAGAGTGTAACGTAATAAATTAAACTTTGCTCTACTTTACTTGAAAAGAACATGTTCTTATCAATAACCAACCTAACCTATAATCTAATTTAGCCTACAAATTTGAAGAGTACTGCAGTTGACTCATTTAGGTACGCAATTCAGATTTACTCTACCGAGGGATGATAATTAACAGGACGATGCTTTTCAGTATTATGACCTGATTGCTTGTCAGTATTTTCCAAAGACCGGACTGGAGAAAGACCAGCATTGAATAATCTCCACGGATACCACATTTGTTGCCCCTTAATTTTTTAGGGGGGATAACCAAAAATAAAATCTACGTAATGCAGCCACAGTTGTAGTTCCTGATTACAACACGAAACTTTTTTGCGAGAACAGTTCTGTTAATAACAGTGACGTAGTTAAAACGCCATCTTGTGAAGAAAAGGTGAATTATATGACCCATAATTTATATGATCATTATGACTTATATAATTTTACTTGAGTTTGGGTGTAAAGTAATTGAAAAAAATTTAATAATATAAAAGTAATTGGACATGTAGTAAAGCAATCACCAATTCCTACATTAGAAAATAGATTTAATAGATTCGACCATTCCATGAAAATTTCCAAAAACGAACAAAAATCCTGAACTTCGGAGAGAGGATGGAACTTAACTGATGCTAATTCCAGATCTACTCTGGGGTCAATTGCCTCTAACGATTCATATCGAAATTAACTATCAGTGTGCGACATCCATTTCCTGTCACAAGGCAGACATAATCTTACGAAACTCTTCAGTGTTCATTCACGAAACCTCTCAGAACTGTAAATATAGTTTTGTTTGTATTAGCGTTGCTCGAAGGGGAAAGCCAGTTGATATGATTTTGCGGGAATGGCATTAGTCATGATCGGTTTCCTGGTTATTAAAAACGGTTTTCAACTTTGTCATACACATTTTCATTTGAAATTTATTCATGTCTTTCTGCTTTTTGAGGTTACCCAGCGCCTTCACCTTATTTGGTTTAGCAGTTTCAATCTGGCTTATCTATATATTGTTTTTTCACGCATATCTGCAGACAGTATTACTGTCCAAAAGTTGAATATATAGTCTTATTATGAAACGAATATTGAGTTATAAATAAAATGAAGCATATTGGCATTTCAATGGATCAGAGAAACCAATTTTCCAAGAATCTCACTGATACTTGTTATTGCATTCACGTTCCTTAAAGCAAAAGGGAGGAGTTTTGAAACAAACAAGTTCTCCAAAACAATTTACATGAGATATACAGGGCGATTCTCATAGATGTATTTATGGCTAACGTGATATATTATGCCGAATTTTCGAATAGGTATTATATCTATTTAATTTTTCTACTTTTCAAGATACATTCCAGTGAATATTCCATTTTGAAAGAATGATTAAACATTGCTACTATTTATGTTTGTTATAACTGAAATATGATTTTGTATTATAAAATAATGATTATACAGACGAATTGATACTAAATTGTGCACTGAAATACTAGCCTCGAAAATTTCTGAACTCAAAAAAAATACTTTTGATTTGAGAGGTCTTGCATGGTACAGACAAAATGATATATTTGAAGCTTTTGAACAATTAAAAACGGCATAATCTTGACAAGTAGCATAAGGGCATACATTCGATATCGTCAATCGATAATTCTTGTTGTGGAATCATTTTTCCCATCTATTCTATAAAAAATCTATAAAAGTCACATATTGTAGAGTTTGCGTAAATTTGTTGAATCGTTTTTGGAAAATTGGAAAATTAAATTATAATTTAATTTCAATAATTCACCGTTCGTTGCAAAAAATCTTCTACTAATATTAAAATATGACGAGATTATTCATTAAGAGAAAAAGCTTCAAAAAAAAAATATGGTATAATTAGTCAATTTCATTTGATCCATCAAGAGGTGTTTTGTGAAATATAATATTTTCTCCAGTAAATCATATTAGGTTCACTTGAATCATATCTTAAAGGTTAACTGGGTTCAATTTAGCAAATTAGGGGTCATGTGTTTTAGGAATTTGGTCAACTTCCGATTTAGATGAGGATTTAGATACCTAATTATATTAATTATTCTATCTCAAATTTAGATTTTTTTAATTCCAGTTGAATTCAGTTGAAATTGAAGTGAATAATAGTTTGTGAAGTGTAATCTGCAGACCACGGCCAGAAAACCCAGAAAATAACAGTTATCTCCGAACGTAAAAGTTTACATTCTTGTAATAGGATTTGTTAATTAGTAAATTTGCATTATTTTTTGAAAATATTCCCGGGATGTTATGAAATAATCACATATATAATAAGATTCTCATAAATATAGAAATAGGATTAAGATGTAGAAAAAGTGTTTTATATACTTTTTGTTTCGAAAAATAAATATATCAATATCGAAAAATATGTCAGAACTGACCTATATTTGATGAAAATCCATTGTAACGAATTCACAAACTTGACAGTTTACAAAACCGCGACGGGTGTTTCGCCATATAATAGCATCTTCAGGCGTGTCGCGGTTTTGTAAACTGTCAAGTGGAAATCTCACATTGAAGTATTTTTTTGGAATACGTTATCGAAATTGAAATTAATAATAGAACAATTCAGGTGTTCGGGTCTACTAACCTCAGTGTTATATTGCTAACAACTCTTTTTTTTTTTATTAACCTAATAATGATACGAAACATTGAGTTTGAGAAAAAAATAAATTTCGTGCATCGATTATATTTTTACTGGATTGGAAGAGCCGAAGCTGTTCCACTCCAAAACGATAGTTTCATTTTGTCTATTTTTCCTGTTTTCCATCTTCATCAACGATTTTTGACATTGTAACTCCTCATTCGAAGATTTTTAATATCAATTTGACACAAGTTTTGAAAGCACAATTTGGAATATTTCTCGTATTTTTCTTCAAAGGCTGATACAGATTTTCCAGTGGAACAATTGCTCGTCTGTAAGTTTTCATTGACATGCACATTGTTCACATACAAGTAAGTATTTATCAGGATATGTGGGGAATTTGTTTTTAAAGTGTTCCAATAACTTTTATGTACATAATATGTACATATTATGGTCCAATTGTGTCATGAAATTCGTTGAATTCCAACCACATATTGTTGACTTATCATATTATATTAGGGAATGCTCAAACTCTTTTAAATCCTCAAATATTTACCTCAGAAGATAACGTATCTCATTTTACGACATTTACATTCCCTTATTGTATGACGTCATTTGCTTATCATTGGTACTTTAGCGATTTATTTTCTTTCTATCATTGCGAAACAAGTTATTTTTAGAGAGTTTTATTTTTGAAAAAAAATAGCATTTTGAAATTATCATTTATTATTTAGATCGCCAGTTTTTTACACAAACAACAACAGAATCTAACTTAGATACAATCAATCATCGCCAACAATATCAGAAAAAAAAATTAGTAGGCGTATAGGTATTGCTTTGAAAGTTAGCAGAGATAAATAAATGACACACCTGTTTTCTATACTGGTATTGAATTATAGAGGTCATGAACCGCACACTGTGTGATTGTTTCGCATATTTCTGCAAAATTACTTAGTAGGAATATGCGTACGTTAACAAAAATTATTTGTGAGATTCGTAAAGATTTAATCAACTGATGGTTTGTTATCTTTTAACTTTCTCTAATTTTCAACAAGTTCTGAGGAGTTAACTTTTTTTAAATGCTACAAATAAAACCTGTCAAAAATCCAAAGCTAGTTGAGTAGTACGATTTCATATATTCTGATTTTGTACAATAATTGCATTACGTCAATGGAAGAAATTCAATACTAATGCAAAAAAAATAATTGACTGTGACTGATATAATAATAGAAAAAATATCAAATATTTTCTATTGAAGTCATGCTCAACAATAGTAATCTATTAAAATTATTCAAGAACGACAAAAATTAAGTAGGTAATTTAGAATTTGTTCTTTATTAACATTCCCTAAACTCAAAACATTTTTTACGATATAAGTTCACAAATCTCATTCATATAAACGTAGACTAATGATGGAATTGATCGATACACCGACCAAAAACACGTGTTTTTTCTATACAATAGCCTTCTC